TTGGGGGGGGGGGGGGGGGGGGGAGAAGGGTCAGTCAAGGTGGCTCCCGAAGAGGAAACTCACCAGCTACCCTGTAAAGAAATGGTACAAAACCATGGGCATCAGGATCACCCCAAAATTGCGTTCGGAAGAACGACGTGCGGCAGCGAGTTGTCTGCCACACCGTAGGTTGGCCGGCCCTAGCACAAGCCCTTGTTGCTGTCCCTCCACACCAAAACCTCTCCTGTAGTTTCAAGTTAGCACACCCGCCACGTCCTTCTTCCGCTCCAAACACGGGAAAAGACGGCGTGCGGGTAGAGACCAGGGTCTCAACGGGAAAAAACGCATTTCTCTGTTTCCCTGTCTCCGTCTGTCTGTCTGTCTATCTGTCTGCCTGTCTGTCTGCCTGTCTGTCTGCCTGCCTGCCTGTCTGTCTGTCTGTCTGTCTGTCTGTCTGTCTGTCTGTCTGTCTGTCTCTCTCTCTCTCTCTCTCTCTCTTCCCCCCTCTCTCTCCTGAAGGATACCTCACACGGGACAGGCACATACACACACAGACCCACGCACGTGTCCAACGTGTCCACGTCCTCCTTGATGTCCGGGTCCGCCCACTGCCGGGTCTTCATGTTCCGGAGGGTCTTGGGCAGCCCGCACGCGATCATCTCCGCGTTGAAGCTCATCGCCTGTTAACACAAGGAGAAGGGGGGCAAGGTGACGTGGTATGCAGGCGTATGGAACGCATGAAGACAAGAGCCGTTCCAGACGACTAATCAGGGAACACATAGTTGATGAGTAGATATCAAAGCTTAAGCCGAAAATAATTTCCCTTCGCACGCGCTCAAGAGTAAACCCGAAACCTGGATAGCCTCCACGATGTGTACGGAGCGATGTACCCATGCCGTTAACGCGTTATCGATGCTTAAAGGGACGTAGAGAAGGAGGTAGAGGAAAGTTGCACCCTGCTGTGTGGTCTTGTGACAGCTGGATCGAAGGGGAACCTTGCCCCGAAGGCCACGTTCGCCCGACTTGGCTCTTCTTGTCGAAACCAACACCCATCCACGGTCTCAAGGCACGGGAAGGGCACGCGAGGCTAGATCGGAAAAATCTTTTTCCTGAACTTTGGGACTGTTCTTCTCCTAAGGCGTGAAAGCGTTGCATTGGCCAAGAGTTCTCCCGACCGAAAAGCCTTCCCTGTTAGTGGCATCGTGGCCGCAACATACGAATGCCCCGGACACAGCAGCGCCAGCCTTGAAGAAACCGACTCACGAGATGGACATATGCGGGAATGTGGCAAAGCACCCGGCAGAAATGTCGCACGTACCTCCCCTTCCGTGAGGTGCTTGAGCGCGGCGAGAGAGACTCGGATCACCTTTTCGGAGGTGGCGGCGGCGACCTGACGGAACAGAGGTCGTCAAGACGCGCGATTTCGATCCGGGGGGGGGGGTACGGATTGCCGTTGTAGCTGTTGTTGTTGTTGTCGCTATCGTTGGTGTCCTCACACTCAACACAGTTCCGGTCTCCACGAAGCACGGTCTAAAATATCTTTACTGGTCCCAACTGGTGCGGATGGCCTCCGCGGTCATATTGATGCAAGGGCAAGCCAGAATCAAAGTAAGTCCAGTATCCAGCCAGGTATTTCCCACCATTCACAAAAGACTTCAACGCATCCCTTTGATTGGGGAACGAACGACATGTAGTGATACCGCTGTGATTGCACGTGAACTGTAAAAAAAAGTTTGATCGCGTCAGTAGTGATGGCTGGAGAGACGCGACTTTGATGGGTACAACATGGTACTGAGTACACCAAAACCACATGCGCCAAGTCAAACAAGAGCAGAGTACGCTCATACAGAGTTGCTCCGCGCGAAACCATTGAACCATGCATCTGGCCACGAATACAGACTCCAGACTCAGGCCGAATTGTTGTCAAATGATGGTTGGAGGCCGCAAACACTTTGTCATGCACGTCGAGGTTCGACATAACGGAGCGACCGCGCGACCCGGGCCATTGGGGCCGGCCCGAGGATGGGGATCTCTCCTTACCTCCTTGAGCTAGTTGTAAGACTACGCGCAGAGTACAAACACACACGCACCTCTGAGCAACGGTAGGAGTTCGCAAGTGAAGCCATGCCCGACGACCCCACTCGAAATAAATGCCCTCACCATGGAACTCTCTTAAGCACGCGCCTTCACAGCCGGGGTGACATGATAGTTACCAAATTTTTGCGAACTTACGATGAGCCGTCTCGATCCAAGTGCAACGTCATTCTCAACGATAGTAAACATTTGACCAGCTTGACGCCAACGCCCGAGGCATTTTTGCGGAAAAGCAACCAAGCAACTCGTGTTGATGGGCACAACGTGATCGCTCCACCGCAAGACCTCACGCACAAATGGTCACCCACCCACAACATCTACACTCCGGCACGTGGGCTTCCTCATAACCAAAAACAAATAACCACGGAGACAATCCTGTGCCGCACCTGCTGGGCGAGGATGGGGATCGCGCCGCAGCTCATGAAGTCCTGCTTGACTTCGTCGCAAAGAGACACCGACCAAAGGCAGAAGCACAGCTCGTACATGAGCTGGGCCATGCTGCTGTCTCCCCCCTTTGGCGTAAAAAAAAAAACGGAACGAGAGAGCAACGACAGGAAAACGGCGTACCGCACAGCACAGCAAATACGAGCGAGGGAGGGACGGACGGACGGACGGACGGACGGGGGGATAGAGGGTGGGAGACACGGAAACGGAGCACGGTGAGGGATAGGGCGAGCACGAAATCAACCGCCATAGAGAGCGTGCGGCTGTCAAGAGCTGTCAAGAGTTGAGATTCCACAGCCGTAAAATCCCCTGCCGTATCCAAACGATGCTTGGTTGCAAAGTGCTGAAAGTCCCCGCCCGCCCCTCTCGAGAATTGAATCCCTCCGTTGGGCTAGTCTCAAACGGTCTCACACAAAAACAGGAAGACCTACTTAGTCTCCCTGGTCAAGAAACAAAACACCTCTCCACTTTCCCTCCTCCCCTCCAAAGTCGTTCCGACACTGGTCAAGGTTAGGACTAGAACAAATCTGCTTGTCAGTCACAGCAGGATGGCATCTTGCATACATCGTGCAAGTAGTTTTATTTTCGACTCCTTAGTTTAAGGTTTCACGAAGGACTCCCCCCCCTGGACGTTGCTCCTCTGCGAACGTTGCTTATTCCTTGACGGGCGAAATATTGTCGCAGTCAGCGGACACGAACAGCAAAAACAACAGAAGGAACAACAGCAGCAGCAGCAGCAGCAGCAGCAGCAACAACAACAACAACAACAACAACAATAGCAAAAAAACACTTAGACCAACAAGTTCACCTACACCACCCACCCACCTGCATCCTGATGATCTTGGTAAGGTACGCCACGCCGCCGTGCCTGCCGAACGATATCCTCGCCGTGTCGTTGCGGAGGAGAACACAAAGAGCCTGCACGGCCCCGCGGACGCTCTGCCCACGGCCGCGGCCCATGGAGAGCTGCTTGCAGATCCACGCGGTCAACGGTTCGCTATCCGCGTCCAAGTTCTGCGGGACAGGGGGTAGGGATCAAACGCGCCGGCAGCAGGAGTGGCACCAGAGGCAGCAGTGGTAGCAGCAACGGGATCAGCATAGCAGCAGGCGTTTCGTTCATGGGATCGGGGGATGAGGTAGAGTGGGAAGGGAGGGACGCACAAGGGGAGCACTACACCGATCTCTAACCCAGGCCCCAATGCCCAATCAACCCTTTGGTTTGACACAGCAAACACAGCAAACGCAAGGATGATAACCAGGTTTTGATTATCATCTTCATCCTTGTGAATCGTAGCCAGGGCCGGCAAAACCCCGGCAATATCGCTCCGTCCCAGCGTTAGGCATACGAGGTCAATGGTCGAACGACTACGGCATGCACGACTATGAGTACACCCCGCCCCACGAACCTGCTCACCGTCATATTACAGTACCCATGAACACCAAACTCACCGTCATGGCGATGAAAAACATTCTTGAGTTGAAATGAAAAGCGAGTTGTCTAGCTCATCGCGAAAAGAGAGAGACGACAAAAAAATAGCGTCGCTCACCAACACAACACTTGTCGAGTTCACACCAAAAACACGAGCTGCTGCTTGTGCAAGACGAGAGCTCGACCACTAACTCACCACGATCAAGAGCGCCAGGACGATGCTCGCGACCTGCTGGGCTGCCGCGTCCCCGCTGTCGATTACTCTCAGGAACGGCGCCTGGTCGAGGGGCTGCTTAGGCGAGGTAAGGAAGAGCTGGGATCGCACCTTGCCATCGTCGGCTACGATATCCTCGCACCTGCGTTGCAGCAAGAGGAGGAGGAACTCATCGGGGAACGTGGGGTTCGATCAGAATAGGGCGTGTGAGACGCGTGTGCGAGACTTGACAAACCGTTGCAGGAAGCCAGCCAGCCATCGTGCAAAGCTCCTGTAACTCCATCCACAAAAAAAAAAGGGACACGAAGCGCTTGCATTTCACTCAAAACAAGACACGAAACGCGTGTGGAATATCATTAAGACGCAGGCGGGTGTGTGTACCTGCCCAAGCAAACATGTTGGAAAAAGCATGAATCGGGGAAGATGGGTTAGGGATCGGGTGTGAGTACCCCCTCCGTATTCTGTTCTTACTCATAAAAACAAAAAATTCTCGCGAAGGCGGTCGGTCCGTACCTGGAGACGGCGAAGTACTGTGCGCGAGCGTCCGAGGTTGTGGTCTTCATGATCTTCACCAGGGTGGAGACGTACTTCTTGGCCGCGGCCTCGTCGTGCATGAGGAACTCCACCGCGCTCTCGTCGTTCGCCCGCAGTTGCTCCACCTTCGTCGCGTTTTTCATGCACCGCCGTCGGTTTCACATTTTCGTGGAAGCAACGAAAGAGAGGATTTATGGTACGGAACTTCATGCAGTACCAGCATCAAGACGTACACAGAAGTACCACCGCTGCTGCTGTACTACGTTGCATGCACAGAGGGCAACTTCCTCGACCATAACCCTCGGGTTAGAGGGCAAGCCCATGGGTGGCATGGGATGCTCTTTGGTACTTGTCTTGATGCTTGCGGTTAGAGTCGACAGCATGCTTCTTGAACCAGTTGGCTCGAGAGGCGGTAACGATGCATGCGTGCAACGTAAGTTTGGACAACAAACCTCACCACCTGGGTGCGCGTTTGTCAAGCGTATACCGACAATGAAAAGCAGGTACACCAGCATACCAGCACCCCACCTGTTTCGTCCCGCACAGGCGGAGCGAAGCGTGCCTCAGAACGCAAAACAGCCTGGCACGTGAGGAACATAACATTTCTACCCACAGGCACAGGCCGTACACACAGGCCGGTTTCTGAGAGGAACTTCGACAGGCAGAGCGGCGTAGAGTAGTCGCACGTATGGCACCTGGGTGCATCAAGAGCGATGTGGGGCTACTTGAGCCCCCTTGAACATAATTTTACCCCTCGCAACAAGAGAGATACTTCGTGTTTTTCGCAAATACATGTGTCCGCGGTGACAAAAAGAACAATCCAACCTGTAACGCATTGCTGACACCACTGCTGTAGCCGCAGGGACCCGACCGTAGCATCACGTTTTCAGTATGAAATGCGATTGACGCAAGGGTAACGAGGGAGTTGGTGTGCACATTGACCCAGGAACAAACGCGCATCGTGACACAATAGTGATGCTGTGCACAGCAGTACAGCAGCAGTACAAGGCGGGCTGGTCTTGTACAGCCATGCTGTTTCCTTCTAAAAGTGACTGCTGCTGCGGCAGGGTTCGGTGTCTTGGGAGTAGGTCCGGAACTCAACTACTCTTGTGCAATATCCTCGGGCAACACGCACACAGACAGGGCGGGAGGTCAGCGTTTTCTCAAATCCGCATCGTGGAGCCCGGCATCATCAGAGCATCGCGGTCATCCGTTGTTCGAAGCGCCACATGCGAAGGCAGTCAGGCAGCAGGCTGCCGTACCAGCAGAAGCGCAAACTGAAGTTTACCTCGGTCTGAGAGACATTGCCGGCGCGCACGATGGTGGCCCAGTCGACATCCGAAAACTTGACCCGGATGCCGTCGTGCTGGGCTTTGCTGAATATCCCGCCAACTAGGCCAGACTCCGTGACTCCCTCCGCCGCCGGCATCCCCTGAGCGGGCGCAGAGGTCATCGCAGACATTCGCTAACAGCAGACAGAGCACGTGCGGCAACTCTATTACTGCGGCCTTTCCTTCGAAGCGACTATTGCGTCGGCGTAAAATTCGCTCGTGCGCCGCGCCGTGTCCTTCCTGACGGCGAGAGAGATAATCTCCGTTTCTTCCTGGCTACTGCTGTCCGTGTGAAGTACGCCCTCTCTCAGCTCGCTGCTTTGGCCTCCCACGGCAGTGCAGGTGGCACAAGCACAGCAGAACCCAACAACCCCTTTCCGTGAACAGGTGGGGTACCCCAACTATCAGATGAGAGAACCATCATTCCACGGTGCCGCTGCGAGACATCCAAGTCCAAGGGCCGGGAAGCACCAAGACAAAAGATCTACAGCATGTAGAGCGCGACGGACTGGCCCTTTCAGATCAGGTATGTGTGTCTGTCCCAAAGCCTCTGGTATTACCGGCTGTTGCCTCCCAGGCTGCGGCTTGCGACCTGCAGTTGCCTAGGATCAACTGAAAACGAAAGATTGATTTCGGCGCAGTATTCTGGCATCTTCTCGAGCAGCAGCCGACACCGCAGCGGCAAGTAAGTCTAGGATCGCACCTGAACAGAGACACCCAGCAGAGAGAAAAGAGGAGAGGGAGAGAGGAGGAGAGAGAGATTTGATCGGTGGTGCACATCACGGAGCAGGTCTCAGCGCCCTGCTGCATACATACACATCTTACAATCGGATAATCAACACACAGCAAGTTATTTTCCAAGTTAATGATCCGTTGTGTTTTCTCCCTAACCCGCGCGCCCCTGGGTGCACAGACACGAGCAGCACTAGAGACGGCGGTGAGTGGAAAGATGCCTCGCTCCGTGCGAGGGCTCGGAGACTCTCGGGCGGGGGAGAGAGAGATACTCAAGCAGGAGTCGTACAGGATCAAGGGAGGCGAGTCTGGAGGTTCGCCGGGGGATGACGAGTCTTCGGACGCGGCGTCCGCGCTGCGCGTGAGCGAGGCCTGGGCGACGGAAGCGTTTCGGCTGCCCGCCGACTTCCTGCACACCCTGGCGCAGCCTGGCAAGAAGAAGAGGTGCGAGGCTTGGCGGCGGCGGTGCAGCAGCGGAAATAATTGACTTTGCATGATGGGGAACAGGCCTTGTGTGCTCAGAGAGCTTACAAGCTGTATATCTCCCGCAAAAACGTGTGTTTGTGGTTCCACATGTACAACGGGCGAACAAATTGGCGCGATCAGTATTGTAGCCGTGATGCTTTCTTTGCCGGGAGAGGCCATTTGTTGGGTTGTCACCCGTAATCTCTACATCAGTCAAGGGCGACATCAGATGCTCGCCGACGTTCTTCCTCGAGCTGTGGCTCTTGCCCGGTTCATGAGACGAGCTCGATTGCACCCGCTGCTCTGAAACATCCCAAAATAGTCCTCACCGTTACATACCCTGGTGCAAGGGCATCAACCATGATTTCGACCTCCACTTCTTGTAACGGTCAGGATATGCGTACGTATGATACGAACGGTCATGCCAAGGTTAACGCTTCCGTGGTTTCTTACATGCATATCTCTCTCGTGTATCCGTCTCCTATGTGCCGGTATGACCGTCTGCCGTCTGCTATGGCAAACGCGGGAGAAAGTAGTGGTCGAACGAAGAGTTAATAGTCGCCAGAGCAGAAATACTGCACTGCATGTGCCGCCTAGTCTACTGCTGTGTGCCCAGAAGAGACCACGCACACCAACCCATCGTCCGGTTTACAGCAGCGGTGAACTATCACACTGCGGGCTCGTGATGGTTAGGGTTGTTCATGATTAGGGTTGTTCATTGCGTGGAAAGCACAACGGCGAACGTTTTCTTGGGTGGTTCTTGCCTCTTGTAAAAACGTACCCAGCCCCGAACGATATATGCTCCCGGTTCGCGGACGTGCCGTCTACGTGCCCTATGTATGAGTGTCCAAATGAAGTAAATAAGTACACTGCAAGTCGCTGCGCTCTTGACGTTCTTTGCGAGCCAAACCGGTGCACTCGCCTGCATCCTCACGGCAAATGGTTTAGCTCGATGCGACGTGAGATCCATCTGACCTACCTCAGCGGAGACCAACCGAGCTCAAGAGACGAAGCTAGACAGGAAGGCGTGTTTCGCGATGAAACCCACAGCTTTGCGCGCTGATGTATGTAGAAGAAAGCAAGCAAGCTGGGTTAAGCCCCTTGTAGACCGTTTTTCCGCAGGAAGTATGACCCACAGCTACCGTACACGCCATGTCGTATTCCACTTCCGTTGTGCCGGACAGCCTAGCCCGTCGATTTTTGGTCGGATTTTTGAGTCTCGAAGGCTTCGCTTCCTTCCACCTCTCTCGCTTTTATTGTGAGACTGTTGACGTCATTCCTTTTGTTGTCAGCATCAAATTTCACACCAATGGGGATTCTTTCTTTGGACGCACCAGTCGGGGTCACACGGGAAGAAGGCCACACAGGAGTTTTGTTTTTGTTCATGTCCCACTTTTTCCTCCTGCGGCACTTGGCTTCATTTTTGTCGGAAGAGTATTCAGCCATTCCTTTCCCTCGCCGACGTCATTTTTGCAACGATTCGCCGACTTCTGTCGTTGTGTGCCCGCCCGCCCGCCTCATCAAGAAGGAGGTCGGTCTAAGAATTTTTCTTTGATTTTTTGTATATTCTCTAAATAGAAGGGGTTGTCTTTTGCAAAAAAATCACCCGCTTCTGTCGTAGTTGTGTGCGCGCCCGCCTCATCAAGGAGAGGTGGGTCCAAGAATCTTCATTGAGTTTATGAATATTTTCTATTAATGAAATATATATATATTTTCTATTAATAACATATATATTTGCAAGATTCACACGCTTCTGCCGTCGTTGTGCCCGCCTGACTCATCAAGCAGAGGTCGGTCCAAGAACAAGAATGACAGGGACAACGGGGACACGACGCCCTTCCTCCAGGAGATGCCCAACGCCGCCCCGCGGCAGACGTCGTGGGCGCAGGCGAGACCTCAGGCGCTGGAGCACCCGCAGCGGTCCGGGCGGTGAGCTTGGCTGGAGGAGGGTTGTTTTTTTTTCCGCGGTGCTGGTTGAGTGGGCTATAGGGTCAGGGGGCGGAGGGGCTTGCCTCCTTGCTCGCTGCGTGCATTTGTAAGGCGGCCGGTTTGGCGCGGTGGTCGCTGCTCGTTATGTGAGCTACAGGGACAAGAGGCGGCGGTTGCGTGTGCTTCCTTGCTTCCTTGCTCCCTGCGTGCATATGTAAGGCGGCCGTCGACCGACCACGTATCTGTTTGGACACCTGTAGGAGTTTTTCGTTTTGTCGATGAAGACACCACCAAGGTTCGTGCGTGCTCTTCGCACCCCTTCCGTACCATGGCTTAGGTTCAGGGTTTAAGTTTTTTTGGGAATGAAGCGCCGCTTTTTTTTTTCCCCCCCGATTGAAAGACGCCTCCAATATTCGTTCGCTCTTCGCGTCCCTACCGTAACTCGCGGGGATGGATGGGGGATGGGGGGCGCTATGTCCTTCTTGTATCTCGTGTGGATGGGCAGACTCTTGAATCCCTCTATTCATTGTTCATCCACTCTCTCACTCGCTGTCTTGGGCTTGATGGGAAGGGGCTGGTCTCGTGCCTAGTTACGATACAGCTGGACGCGTGACAGCAACACCCTATGGTGGGGAGACACAGCAGTGCCACGGCGCATACACACTGTTGCGATACATAGGGCTGGGTCTGGCATTTCCGGGGCATGTGTGTGTTAGTTTGGAGCGGAGCTGAAGGTTGGCTTCGAAATATGCCATGACAACCCCCGCGCCTGTTTTTTGTCTTGTACTTGTTTACCGTGTTCTATCTCTGTTCTGTTTCTTCTTGTACGCAAAAACACTTGGCGAATTGTTTCCTTTATGTCGGCGGCGCCCGTTGTATCTGCTACTTCTGTAGGCATCGAAAGGGGGCCAAGGGGATGACAGAGCCACGGATGAACAAGGTGGGCGCTGTCTCTGTATCTGGGAGTGCTTCGCTTTCGAGCGCCAGGGAAAACAGCTTGAACGTGTGATACCTGGCGTTTGAGTTGTTGATCCAGTATTGGGTCTGCCTTTTGTCGGTGATGCCTGGCGTTCGCGTGGTTGAGCAAGTGTTGTGTCTGCCGCATTTCGGTGCTGTATGTAGAGACACCGCTGTTGTCATCTGCGTAGACACATGCGCCCACGACCACCGAAAAGAGGCAGCGGTTGCGGTCGTGCGGCAGCTTCCCGCGCAAGTACAGCAGTTTGCAGCAGCAATGTGCCAAGTACACACGTCCGGAAAGCAGCTCTACACCAGACAGGAGTAGCACACGGGTGGTCGACTCGTACATTATGTCGTTTCACATTCTTTTCTGTTGGACACCGTAAACTAAGCAACCTCTGGTCAGATTTTTATCAGTTACATGTTGTTGCGGCGAGACTAGTTCGTTCTCTTCGCGGAAAGAAGAAGCTCCGGATACGGGTTGGGAGTAAACTCCGAGTGCATCTTGACAAAGTCGGTCAACATGTTTCCTTGCAAAGGTATGTAGCTTTTTGCTGCCGGCCTCTAAGAGGCCACTGTAGAACCCCCCCACCCTCTTTGTTGTGATCCATGCACACACGCATCCATTTTCCTCCGAGGACGTTAAAGCACGTTCTTTTTTGTCGTGCGGGTCGGTCCGGTGACGCTTACTGTTTCGGTTTCGAAGGACGGGTCGCGAGAGAACACCGGAGAGAACGATGCGGACGTCTTCGATTTCTTGACGCAGCTCTTCGGCTTCCAGCGGGACAGCGTTCGGAACCAGAGGTGAGGCGAGCGCGCGGACGAAAGAAAAAAAGTTGTCCTCCTGAGTGCATAGTAAAAATAGACGATCGGGAGGGGGGGAGAAACTGGGGCGGCGTGCGGAACCAGAGATGGTGGCGAGCGGACGGGAAAAAAAAAACTTGGCCTCCTTAGTGTATCGCAGAACGAGACGATTGGGAGGGGGGAGAAGCTGGGACAGCGTTCGGAACGAGAGGTGAGGCGAGCGGAGGAACAAAAAAAAAGGGTGGCCTCTTCAGTGAATCATGAAGGATAGGGGGGAGTCGAACGAAGCGAGAGAGCTGAACGCGTTTGTTATGGATTGAGACGAGGAGGAGAGGGGGAGACTGAAAGCACGGGTCGGAGAGGTGGAAAACGAAGGAGGGAAGGGAAGTAGGAGCGGGTGAACTTGAGAGAAGACCAAGGCCTCTTGGTGGAGGGAAGAGAGATGACGTCGTCGTGAGAAGGCTTGTGTAGCTAGCGCGCTGGCCGAGGGGTTCCGCCGACGAGAAAACGAAGAGGGGGAGGGGAGGTGAGAGGAAGGAAGAGAAAGATCCGAGGCTCGATTGTGAGTATCGCCAGGAGCGAGGAAGAGGCAAGGATAAAAGGGGTGCAGGTGTATTGCCCGAAAACCCCTGACATGGTTACGCTGTGCTCTAAACGATCCACCGTCTAGGACACCGTGGAGTGCCGAGGGCAGACGAGAGACGGGGTGTCACAGACGTGGAGAAAGAGGCGTACATGTAGAGAAAAGAGAGAGGAACCGATACCAGGAGATGAAGAATGTGATTGTTGTTGCTGAGTCATCTGTCGCGGGATACGAGCGGTATCCACTCCACGGCAGAAACAGAAGAAAATTACGTTGAGTGCGGTGCGACGTGATCGTCTCATGCGGGTGCAGAGCGCCTTGGCCATGGCCATCTATGTAGCATCGTCTTTCTTGCTCGGCGAGAAGTCCGAACCCCAACTTCGCATGCATTTCTGTGTCCGAATGGCTGTAAAATGTGTGTTCTCCACGTCTACAGAAGTAGACAAGCACCAACCTTTAATGTACGAAACCTAGAACCGTATTAATCCCAACTGTTTCGCACGTGTGTGAAAACGAACTGAAATGGGATGGGGGCGCGCTGGGACGGGACGGAACGATAGGGACAACGCCATCACGCTGCTAGCGAGCCGGCTGTCGCGGAGCGTTAACCACGCAGGGTCGGACTTGCACTCGCTCACGCCGGATAAGGTGGCGTATGTCCTGGCGACTTGGAGGAAGGAGCAGCTGGCGAACTACAAGAAATGGTGAGTGTGGTGATGGTGATGGTGGTGGTGGTGGTGGTGGTGGCGCACAGGAATTGATAGGGGCCGCAGGCGTGGGGTGTACGCCTCAGTTTTTTGCCATGGACACTTGTCGAGGTTGAGTTTGCGACGGTCCATTCCGACCTTTTTCAATCAACGTGCGTTCGGCTGTTTAGACACTGCGGCGCACGAACCGGGGCATGTTTTTTCGCCTTGGGCGAGAAAAGTCCCTCCCCACCCCCCCAAATATTTTTCGAGAGATAACTTGTGAAATTTACGCCCACTCGGGGGGGGGGGTTGGGGAGTCACGCTGATGCAAGGTTCCGGCAGTGGCATCGAGATTGAAGAGCCCCGGTACACGACAAAGTTGCAGTGGTGCGATTGCGATCTCCTGAAGCCGGTGGTTGTTCAACCCCACCCACATAGTTGTAGCGGTAGATGGCGTTGCTCCCTACCGCTCCTTCACCGTCGCGAACACTTCTCTACCGCTCCTTCACCGTAGCATACACTTCTTTACCGCTCCTTCACCGTAGCGAACGCTTCTCTACCGTAGCAAACGCTTCTCTACCGCTCCTTCACCGTAGCGAACACTTCTCTACCGCCCCTTCACCGTAGCGAACGCTTCTCTACTCCTTCACCGTAGCGAACACTTCTCTACCGCTCCTTCACCGTAGCGAACACTGCTCTACCGCTCCTTCACCGTAGCGAACACTTCTCTACCGCTCCTTCACCGTAGCAAACGCTTCTCTACCGCTCCTTCACCGTAGCGAACACTTCTCTACCGCTCCTTCACCGTAGCGAACACTGCTCTACCGCTCCTTCACCGTAGCATACACTTCTCTACCGCTCCTTCACCGTAGCAATCGCTTCTCTACCGCTCCTTCACCGTAGTGAACACCTCTCTACCGCTCCTTCACCGTAGCAAACACTTCTCTACCGCTCCTTCACCGTAGCGAACACTTCTTTACCGCTCCTTCACCGTAGCGAACGCTTCTCTACCGCTCCTTCACCGTAGGGAACGCTTCTCTACCGCTCCTTCACCGTAGCGAACACTTCTCTACCGCCCCTTCACCGTAGCGAACGCTTCTCTACTCCTTCACCGTAGCGAACACTTCTCTACCGCTCCTTCACCGTAGCGAACACTGCTCTACCGCTCCTTCACCGTAGCGAACACTTCTGCCTGCGGTCGTGCTGTGTCGGTGGTGCTGGCGATCCCTTCTCAACCCCGCAACCTCCCGGATGCTTTGCCGACGGTGGTGGTGGTGGCGGCGGCGGCGATGCTGCTGCGCCGTGCAGGTGTAAGCATATCTGGAGCTGGCAGATCAAGCTCAAGAAGGTCCTGCCGGACGACCAGCGACTCGCGTGCGCTTTCGAGGTGAGGTGTGCGACAAGGCGGAAGACCAACGTCGCCACCGATCGAACCGCAAGAATTAAAACGCTTCCTTATCACAACATCACAACAAAGAGGGACGATTTTCGTCAACACGTCGGCAGCAGCATCCCGGGATTTTCAGCAGCGGCGTTTCTACGCTCAATATGTAGCGCCATCCATCCGCCAGAGTGTCTCTTTCGCACAGTCTTGCGATGTTGTTTAGTACGCGCCGTTCACTCCGGTGGTAGCGTTCTCTCGACAAATACAACTACAGTATCACTGTGCGGCGAAATAAAACCTTGCTTAGTTTTACTCTGTTGTTGTTGTTGTTGGTGGTGGTGGTGATGATGTTCGGTAAAACAAACGCCTTTGTCGTCTACACACCCACAGTCTCCCTTTCTGTGCTTGCCACCCGAAACAGTGTCCTGTAGGAGACAATATTCAATGTTCGTGTACAGTACGACCGCATGCAAGAACACAGATAGCGCCCGCACTCATGAACCTCTAATTTTGGCTGAGGCTGGGGTGTTTAATTCCTACGGTTATCTTGTGAATGGTGGCCATATGGGTTTGAGCGTAGGGGTTCTTGCCCGGGCTCACAAATGGTGCTCAAGTTCTTATGTTTGATAACATTTTGAGCATGACGTTCTTAACTGCCAAGTTCTTAACTGCTGGCGCCATCTGTATGAGAACTCTCTTTTTCGACGTTTTCTGTATCTTGATGTTTGCCAACGTTCGACTTTTAGATCGCGCTGAACCTGCTGTTGTGGGGAGAAGCGGCCAACCTCAGGCTGTGCCCGGAATTCTTGTGCTGGGCGTACCACAAGAGCGCCAAACGCCTGAGGGATGCCATCGGGGACAGGGCTCCGGAGCAGTTCATCAGGTAAAAAATCTTGTTGGCTAGCTGAATTCCGCCATATTGGCTGTTCTGCCCATGCCGCTCGTGCTGTGCTGTAGCGCAGAGTCCTCCTGAATGGTTGAGGGTGAGTTTCTTTGGCGGGTTTGGTGAAGTTTATGTCGCGCACGGTGTGATACGCTGCGGTAGAACAACACGCAAAAAAACAAACACGCACACACATGCGCGCGCGCACACGCACGCCCCTGCTGCTTTTGCCGGTAGGCACTTTCCTAAGATGGCCGGCAACATTGGCCACAATCCTAGAATAGCTGCCAGGGTTGAAACGTCTGCCCCAACCTGAAAAAGCATGGTGAACTCCATAGCCGTCGTGCGCTGGGGTCATTGATGCCGGCAGGAGCGCGGCAGGGTAAAATAACGGGGATTAATGGTTGCGACCATGCCACGAATACAAACCTGAGATAACTCTTCTACGGACCGTTAGCCCAATGGTATGGGGGCATGTATGGGCGGGCTGCGGCAGTTTGTCTGCCTCTACAGGCACGCAAACCTACGACAGACTCTCACAGCGGCAGTTAAGTAGCACTAGGGAATCGGCTCCGCAGGGTATCCGGTGACTTTTCGGCCGACGTGATCACTGTTATGGGGTGACTTTGGAGCTCAAACGTCGAGTCTGGTTCACGCGTCCGTATGCACCGTATGGTGCTCATTGTGACTTGACTCTTCCTACCTCTATCTCTTTGCTGCGGTGTGCGCGCCGCGCCAGCAAGGCCCTCCTTCAAGGGAGGGGGGATCCACACATGACAGACATTCCCCCCCCCCCCGCTAAGTTTTACGATTCAAGCCGGGTTTTCCCGCTCAAGCGGCGGCAGATCCTGCCTCAAGGGATGGGGGATCCGTACATGGCAGACATTCCCCCCCCCCCCCCATTGTACAATCCAATCCGGGTTTCCCGCACAAGCGGTGGCAGGTCCTGCCTCAGGGGAAAGGGGGTCCGCGCATGGAAGACATACCCCCCCCCGGCCCATGAAAAGTTTTCCAATCCAACCCGGTTTATTTCCCGCACACGCGCGGCGGCAGGTCCTACCTCAAGGAAGTGATCCAGCCATGCTACCTGACGCTGGCGGAGCAGTACGAGGACCGCAAGGCCGGGTCTCGGCCATATATGGTGAAGAACTACGACGACTTCAACGAGACGTTCTGGCAGAGGAGCTGCTTGGGCCTGGACGTGGTGGGGCTGACGCAGGACGCCGTGAGGAGGAAGTTCACCAAGACGTTCGTCGAGAGGCAGTCGTGGTTGGTGCCGATGGTGAGCCAACAACGGGGTGCACTACTGTTTTTCACGCCCTAGCGGTGGGACCACGCGTCCTCGACAGGACGGACGGGAACTCATCTTAACGCATGCCGTAGTTGGTAGACCGTTTCTGGTATGTAACGATGTCGAGGACAGTGGGGGGGTGAGCTGAGCAGTCCGCGGACTGCTGCCGATGTGGGTCAAATGGGGATTTTCGTGTTTAGAGTGTTCGTATTCGGTGTTTGTTGCGGCGTCGGCGTTTTTTTGGCCTAGCCGACGTCTGGAACCGGATCGAACGCTCGTGATCATGCCACACGAATGGGCTTGTGGAGGATCCACAGCTGCCCCGTTATGCTCTTGTTCACTTCTTGCCGCCCATAAGAATAAATATTGGCAATCCCCACACCTCCTGCTGACGAGCTGAGGTGTAGTGCCCCACTCTTGAACTCAGGTCTTGTCCTGCTCTTGAGGCAGCCTCTCTGTAGGGGGAACGGCAACGATAACTCTAGAACATCAACAGCGACAGCGACAAACAACTATTCGCTCTTGAGGCAGCCTCTCTGTAGGGGAAACGGAAACGATAGTCGATAACACCAACACCAACACCAACAGCGACAAACAACACCTAACCTATCCCTAACCTTACGACCTTAACCCTTACCCCAACCCTAATAATACAAGCACGCTTGGCCGCAATACGAACAACAGGTGAGCTTCTGGAGAGTCCAGATGATGCTGTTTTGGGGCCTACACCTCCTGGTCGTGGCGTCCGTGTGCACCACGGACGGGGGCTGCGCGGGCGACAGCGACATCGCCTACTGGTACTCCGCGGTCTTCACCCTGGCAGGTACTTGGACATCCGCGGGGCTTGTTCCGGCAATCTTGAGCGACCACAATATTGGTGGAGGCGGAGAATCGCGTTCGGTTCTCTCCTGATGGCCTATGCTGACAGCCTTGTTTCGCACTTATTGTTTGGGTCTCGGACTGCACACCAATGCAGTGGCCAGTTTTGGGCGTGCTAGACACCAGCAGCGTGTGCACCACAATAATGGTGTTGTGGCCATGGATGGAAATCGAGTCCTATGTCGTGGCACTTTGGCCTCTTGGTCTGAGCTCGCCGGCGGACACTCGATGAGACTCGGTTGTTCGGAGGCTCTTTCTCTACGCTCTCAGACGATAGCCATTTGACATGCGCATTCGTGTAGATGTGTGCCTTTTCGTTGTTTACGGTTATTCGCATTACATCATGCCTGGGAATGGAAGATGTCCCAATCCAGGGGTCCCGTACAAGGGTCCCCCCCCCTTCCTTCCCACCGTTCCTTCTGCGGTGCCCCCCTTCGTTGTGTAATATTTCGACAGCGTCCGGTCTTTTTGCGCACGGATACTCCTTCCGAACGCCGCACCTCATTTGGCAGAATTTACACATGACATGCGCAAGATGACCCGCACCCCCGAAATGCTAACGGATGAAGTATATTAGGGCAGGTTTTAGCTAGGGTGCGTCGACGCTAGTAGTACACACGAGAAGCATGAAGCGGACCAAAATGGAACGAAAAAACAGGACAAAAATCCCTGAAATCCCAGCCCCCCTATCCAGAACGAGCATCTTATCTCGCGCGGTCTTGGAACATGTGCCGATCCCATTCGTGCGTGTGCCACGCACGCGCAGGGTGCTACGTGTTGATCGATTTGTACCAGATCATCTTCGTCACCTGGCGAAAGGTCTTCATTCAGGTACGCCGTATGAGGGAGATTTAGCTAGAAATCGAAATAAAAAATGGGGGTGAAAACCCCAGCAAACATTGAACAAAACAACGAAGTGAAACCGCGGCCAACAGTTGAAGAAGGATGCCGTCGTGCGCCATTTGAGAACACCCCTCCCCGGGGGGGCGGATGCGAGGTCAACAGTCTAACGACTACGGCCCAACGCGTGGTCTGTAGTGCCTACATCCGTTGTGCATACTCGTACTTCCGTCTCTTTCCCCCCCGGGCGGCCGCATGGGCAGTCATGATTGACGAGAACACATCGGGGTGAGGTCAGAAGTGGCGGGGCGAAGGACCTTGAAACAGGAATGAAACACACCCCGAATATGTGCGTGGTCTCTTTTTGCGTTATCCCGGGCATCTATCTCCTGGACGTTACAACCCGCCTGTCATCCTTTTCTTGATGGTTCGTGCGATGCTGTTGTTGCGACAGTGCCATCTGCTGACGGTGATCTCCACCCTCGGGAGAGCGTTTCTGAAGGTTGTGGCGTTCGCGTGGCTCTACACCAACTACCCCAACGACGTCTTCGTCAACTCCGCAAGGTGGGTGGGCAGGGGATACGCGGACAGGCGGGAGGGGATGGGTGAGGGTGGGGGCACGGGGTGCATCCTTGCTCGATGGTTCTGTTAAGTCACCGAGAAGTTCCTGGTCGACGCAGATACAAACGGGAGAACAGGCAAACGAGGCACGCTTTGACGTACATACGTGTTGGCCGCCCTTCGGGAGCATTGGGCGTGCGCTTCCCCTCCCTTAGCGCATCCATTCTCATCTTTCTTGGAGAGTAAGTAGCTCTATACATGCACTACACGGCCGATGCGTAGCTTGTCCACAGGTCTTAAGCGTGTTTGTTTATCGTAGCAAAAAGGTCGTCGGTGCTCGTCACTGACCGTGTCTGGGGTCCTCTGAATCTTGGTACACAACGCCGGCTATGAGAGAGAGAGGTTTTGGTGTCCTATCCCCCTCTCCCGCCGCAGTCTCACGCTCACGTCGCCCCTGCCGAGCACGAGACTCCCAAACAGCTCTATCCCCACAGCTGAAGATGGCGAACGCCTCGCTATGAGTACGATGATTGAACCGTTTATTGCGGCGGCCTTAATAAATACCCAACAGTCCGCCGTAAATCGAAAAACAGCAGTATCCATCCAAACGAAGTACAAAGAAATTGATTGTGTGTGTCTGAACTTAGTCGCGAGTTGATCTCTACCACGCCGTCGTCTAGCCACGTCCAAATTTGACCGTCCCGTGCCCTTTGCTTCGAGCAAGTCATTGGCCCATGATCCTCCTCGTCCCTATCGTTTGCTCTCAACTCTTCACAACCCCCCTTTCGTTCGTCCCCTGCCGCACCAACACGCAGCTTCGGACCCCTCCGCCCTCACGTCCCTCACCACCGCCTGGAATGGTTCACGATTGTCTCACACCCGACGTTTGGGGGTCACACGTTTGACTTTTTTCATCCCAAGCTGAGATGTCGTGTGCCTCGAACCCACCCCTCCGGTCATTCCGCCACCCGCCCCCTCCCCGCGAAACACGCCCAACCCTCACGTTCGGCCTCCAAACGCGGACCCCCCTCCCGCTTGCGTCGAACTTCCGAAAATCGAAACTTGTCTTGCCCGCGCCCGCAAAATACGCCCCACCCTGAGCCTCGCCCCCCGACGCGTCGAGCCTTCGACTTGCGCCGAACTTCCGAAAATCGAAGCTTCTCCTACCCGCCCTCGCAAAAACACGCCTCCTCCTGAGCCTCGCCCCCCGACACGTCGAGCCCTCGGCTTGCGCCGAACTTCCGAAAATCGAAACTTCTCCCACTCGAAACACAAACTGCTACGTAAAATGCATGAAAGGCTGTACTACGGGCTGGTGGCGCTGCTTGAGCTGGTCAAGTTTACGCCGCTCATCGGCGCGTTGCAGGGCACAGTGGGGCCTTGGTCCATCGTGATCAACGTCCTGCTGGGCGTCGACGCTGCGGCGTCTTACGCGAGAATTGATCGGCTTCCGGGCAAGCGTAAGGTGAACGTGTGTTGTTGTTGTTGTTGTTGTTGTTGTTGTATTTGTTGTAACGATGGCGGGTGGTGGTGTTACTTTTTTCGTTGGTCGTGGTGATGGTTGGTGGTGGCCGTGAAATGATGTTGTTTTTGTTGCTGCTGCTGCTGCTGCTGCTGTTTGTTGCTGATGATGGTGATTGTGGTGGTGGTTGTAGTCGTCATGGTCGTTGTCGTCATCTATGGTGCACCCTCACCCCTTTCTAGCACGATGACGTTACAGGCAGCCGCGCAATCAATAGGGGGAAGTAGAGGAAGAAAAGACATGTATTTGGTATGTTGTGATGACCGGCTACGGTAAACCAGGCTACGGCAAGCAACACCTCAACCGGAAGACATGTGGGGGGCGCTTCTTCCTTGCCCCCGCCAGACATCTGCTGCCCGAATGCTCACGCTCTGTTTGGCGAAACATCTTTGCCAAAGGATTGCTGTGGTGTTGATGTGGTCGCGGATGTTGATTTCATCGCTTGATGAACCGTCTGCGCCAAAGGATTGACTGTGGTGTTGATGTGGCTGTTGGCTTCATCGTCCACGTGGCGCACATGTACAGGTTCTACTATACAGCTTGTTCTGGACCGTGGTTCTCTCAGCCAAGTTCCTGTTCAACTTTTTCTTCATGATCCGACCGCTCGTCGAGTCGACGCGGACCGTGTGGAACCTAGACATCAGCGGAAGGTTTGTGTGTTGGACGAGTGAATGTACTTTTTACGTCATTGCGTGAAAGTAAATAGACTGAATAAAATTCGAAATCTTCACGGTTCGGTCCCCATCTCCTCTTCTGACAGTCCCTTCCCGGAGATTTCGCTATGCTGTTTGTTGCACATATAGCTATGCACGGTTGGTCAGTGCACTCCCGCTCTTGGTGCGACTTGCCGAGGAGAAGTGCAGCCATTTTTTAGGGTTAAACTCTGCTGGTGTTGCTGGTATTGACCTGTGTTGCTTTGTGTTTAGGTCGCTGCTCGTTTACGAGCGAGCGTTCGTTAGCGCTCTCTCTCTCTGTCTCTCTCTCTGTCTCTGTCTCTGTAAGCTATGGTCGGATTTCGGGTGTAGCACACGTTATCATGCTTGTTTTCGTCGAACCTTGCCATCCCTGGCACAGCGGTCTCAACAGAGTCGACGCTCTGCTTCGCCTTCTGTTGCGACAACCTTCCAACCGTGTCGACTCTATTAGGTACGACCTCGGTTTCGTGTCTTTTCGCGATACCCACAACGTCGGCATCCTGGTCGGCGTGTGGCTTTCTGTGGCGTTTGTATATTTCATCGATCTTCAGGTAAGCGGTGATTGTAGTTGCTGTTGTTGTTGTTGTTGTTGTTGTTGTTGTTGTTGTTGTTGTTGCTTGTTTATCTTGACCGCTTCAAATCTTGAACCGCTCCAAATGGTGTAGCATCTACAGCTCTACAGCTGCTATCATCGTGTTTGTTCGATCTTGTCCGCGAAATCGAGGTCTCTTTTGTACTTCCTAATTGTTGTTCTCGGGCCTTTGCTGGAATGATCATTGGTTGTCGGTCGCATTTTGTGTTTCCCGGAGAAGGCGCAATGTCTCGAGGTGAACGCCTTGGGGTACCACCCCATGGCAGACACCCGGGGTTCTGAGGTGCTGTTTTGGGTGCAGTGTGCGTGCGCGCGCTCTTTGCTATCATGATATGACCAAGAGAGAAGCTTTTTCTGCCGGTCTATCTGTCTGTCTGTCCGTCTGTGTGCGTCTCTCTCTCTCTCTCTCTCTCTCTCTCTCTCTCTCTCTCTCTCTGTGTGTCTCTCTCTCTCTGTCTCTCTCTCCCTCTCTCTCTCCCGTTCTCTCTCTCTGCCGATGCTTTCTTCACCTGCTCATTGACCGATGCGTGTCTTTTTACCGCTGTGCCGGTCGGTTTCCTGGCCTTGCTGTCTAAAACGTGTTGCCGTCTCCGTCGCCGTCGTCATTTCTTGGCGCTACCGCCTGCGAAGGTGTGGTTCATCATTGCCGAGAGCGTCATGTCGGCCTGCTACGGCGTGGCGAGGCACGTGGGAGAGCGGCTCAACCCGAACGAGATCTGTGGGTCCTTCGAGCAGATGTATAAGATTTTCTTCAGGTGTGTGTTTATCGCTATCCCGATCCTCATCAGCATGCAAACAAGGACACATATTTTATTCCTTTTTCGTCGATGCTGTTCTTTTTTTTTTTGTGCGTGTCGGTATTCTGTGTTTTTATTGTTCATCTCGCTTGTACCATCTCATTTCCCTGCGATAGTTAATTTATCCCCTTTTTGTCTCAACACAACGGCCACTAGAACCCCATTCACCTAAAAAACAATGGACATAACGAGATGAGGGGGAGGGGGCGGATGTTCCGTCAGCCTCCCCGAGCGCACGCGTTGTTATCACCGTGTTGTTCGATACACAAAGTTGGTCTTGCAAGTCAGCAGATATTCCAAAATATATTTTCAACTGTATCAGGCGAAACGCGGGGTCTACGCCAGTACCACAACAAAGGAGAGTAGCAGCATCTTGAGAAGATGGGGGCTGGGGGCGGCAACAAAGCTTCGCGACTATATATGCACGCAGCCTCGCTTTATCTTGGTTCCGCTTCTTCCACTCCCATTCGCTCCCATTCGTTCCCGTTCGTGCCTGGTTGTCTACGAAATCTAATCAGGTACTTGGACGCCGAGGACCAACAGAAGCACTTCCGCTTCGCGTACGTCTGGAACGAGGTGCGTAGAAGCAGCGAGGTTGTGTCGAACTGGTCAGTCCTTCGAGCCGAACAGAGACTGCAGTGTGGTCGAAGGTGGCTTGCGAGCTTCGCCCGACGCAATGCAGAAGTTTCCGGGTCGAGTCGTGGGTGCCCTGCCAAACACCCGTTCATGTACTCTTGTGTGTGCCGCGCAAAGGCGGTTTTGCCTTCTTGTTCCTTTTTCATTTGTTGCTGTGCTCTTGCGTGCACTGCGTACTGAGTTTTTTTTTCTTTCTTACTGTTGTGCCCTACTGCTACAACTACCATAATATACTTTGAGTTAACCCCGCCTAAAAACATCAAACGGCGGGGTACCCCAAAATATTTTACAGCTAGCCCCGGGGGTATCGTGTACCATTTTCAGCCACACGACCACCCCCCCCACGTCTTTTTTGAAGGCGGTCTCTTTATGCCCAACACCTTGAGAGGAGCTCTGTATATGTCATTTGCCGTGTTGGTATGCAGCCTGTTCTCTACCACCCGTCGCTTTGCTTTTGTCTATTGAGAAAGGTTGGATCCAGTGGTCACGCGGCAGATGTGGGGGATTTCTTGTGTGCGTCCACATCGGGTGCTCATTCTCCGGATTTTCCACTCGCCCCCCTCCCCCCCCCCCCGAGGGGGGCCAACTCTCCCCTACATATCGTACTGCCACCATTAAAACCTATCTATGCTTGTCGTAATGTCGCCATTAGAGCCAAGCCTATGCTTATCGTGACAACAAAATGTGATGGACGCGAATCGCAGGGGCGCCCAACTCTCCCCTACATATCGCATTGCCATTAAAACCAAAGGTTTGCTTATCGCGATGCTGCCATTTAGACCAACCTTTGTCGTGACGTAAAAAAGGTGGTGGAGGCGATGCGATGCGCAAGGGCGCCCAACTCTCTCCTACATATCGCGAAGGCATGTAAACCTTTTTTTTGCTCATCGTATTGCCGCCATTTTAACCAACCCCATGCTTATGGTGTCAACAAAGGTGGTGGACGCAATGCGCAAGGAGGACGTCATCGGTGACCGAGAGATGGCCGGCCTCAAGTACTTCGTCGTGTCCCTGCACCGCCCCAACAGGTCAGAGCGATAAGACTTGACTGGTTTCCGGGCTCCACGCGCCGTGTTCTTTTCCATCCCCGCGCCTCTCTCTCTCTCTTCGGCGGCGGCATGTTTCGACATGTCTCCTACGTGCGTGCGCGCCGAAAGCACGTCCCGCGGTCGGTTGGCCATCGTGATAACTTCGAAAGTTCGGGAGCCAGCGCGAGTGTTTTTCGTTCTTTCAGATAATGAAAATGATCCTTCTTGTTGTAGCTTGCAGGAGTCGGCGGTGGCAGTGTTGAGACGACCATCAACTCCTCTTCTTGATGCCGTCCGTCTTAATCGCGCCACGACTGAAGTGTAGCGGCGTGTCATGCTGGTGTTGTCTCTCCGCGACGACGACGACAACAACAGCAACAACCAATGTTGGCAACAACATTGGCAACAACTGCGGCTCAGCAGCAACAACAGCTTCAACAACTTTACCAGCTTCTCATCAACAGCGACGACGACAATGAGAACGATACAACACACATATATTGCTCCGCATCCACGACGTCAACAACTCCAATAGCAACACCTATATGCTCCGCACCCGTGACAGCAACAACAATAGCAATTGCTCCGCACCCACGACAGCAGTAACAACAATAACAACATCTATTGCTCCGCATCCTCTATGTCAGCAATAGCAACCTATTGCTCCGCACGCATGGCAGCAACAACGATAACATCTAATGCTGCACCCAAGACGTCAATAGCAGCAATAGCAACATTTTTTTCTCCGCACCCACGACAGTAACAACGATCAACACCTATTGCTCCGCTTCCACGACGTCAACAACATCAATAGCAAGAGCTATTGCTCCGCGCCCACGACAACAACACCTGTTGCTCCGCATCCACGACGTCAAGAGCAACAGCAACACCTATTGCTCCGCATCCACGACGTCAACACCAGCAACAGCAACACCTATTTCTCCGCACAAACGACAATATCAACGATAACAACAACAAGCTTGTTGTTTCGCTCCGCGCCTGCAGCGTCCTGGCGTTGCTGCCCGGTTTCCTGGTGTCGGGCAAGATCCAGGGCTCCGTCAAGACGGCGAGGGACTTCGCCAGGCAGCAGGACGAGCTGATCAAGGACCTCGTCGCCGTGGATGCCTGGGGGAAAGGCGAAGACAAAGGAGCGCGGTGCGTGTGTACAAGAGGTGGTGGACGTGCGGGAGTAGCGTAGTGTCTCAGAGAGAAAGCGCGCTTGATGACATTGTTTTTGACCTCGAGGTGCTGTAGTTTGAAGGATCGCCGTTGGACGTGAATCTGCCATCCGTCGGGACGAACGACAATAGCATCGACAAAACAATAATAACATCAACAGTAACAGCAGCAGCAGCAACAACGACAACAACAATAACAACAACGACAACAACGACAACAACAACAAAAACGACGACGGCGACGACGACGACGAACAGGTACGAGGCGGCTGAGAGACGAAAGCCAGCGACCGGTTTCTTCGACATGATCGAGAGCTTCGCCATGCCAGACCACGACGAATACGGCGTCGCTCGGGCGGCCGACCTCAAGGTCGTGAAGCAAATGCGGACGCTGCGGCTGGAGCAGAAGAGGTTCCTCCGCGGCATGCTGTCGGTGTCCGACGCCATCAGGTGGGGTGGGTCTGATGTTCGTTGACCTATCACCGCTGTTCCGGCCGGACATGATGATGATGCTGGGTGTTTAGTTGCGTTGACCTATTTAGCACCGCGGTTGCTGCCGATCATGATGATGACGCTTGGTGTTTAATGGCGTTGACCTAACACCGCTGTTCCTGCCGGCCATGATGACGACGCTGGGTGTTTAGTTGCGTTCTGTGGAACGGCCGTGCGTGAGACATGGAATGGGTACTTTGTAGGGGACCGTGTTAGTTACATGACAGATAGACCAACGGAAGTTGCTTATGACAGTGGGGGGGAGGCTGTTTAGTGCCGGTATGTGCCTGGAGAGTTGACCCGCACTCTACCGGACACCAGAACAGTTCAAAGTACAGAATGGCTTGGTGAACCAGTCTGTGCCAGCCGAATATACCGGCATTATACCGGCCACTGTCACTCTCAACCGTCACTAACAGGGCCCCCACCTGTAGCCATTGTCGGTAGTGGTGCTGCCGTATTCTGTTGTGTTTGTTGTTATCGTTGCTGCGTGTTCGGTGTGTCGGACGCTTTTCAAGCGGGGGATGGCGTTGAATTAATGTGTACCGCTTGGTGTGTTTTTCCGTCGCGATCTGTCTGCCTTCCTTGATGCTGCTGCTCGCTTGCTTGGCCTTCAGGGAGGTGGCGTTTCTCCACCTGTTTCTCAGCGTCTTCTTCCTGGTGGAACACCTCTGCCAGAGCGAGGCCATCTGCGCGGGACTGTGGGAGCTGTACGAGTTCGTCACCGGACTGGCCGGCTCGAACGACGCGGCCGGCTCCATAGCCGACACGTGAGTCTTGCGCCCTGCCTGCCGTAAAAAATCGTGTTACGGCGGGTATCTGGGGGGGTTGTCAGGGTCGTCTTCATGAAGATCACGTTAGCTGATGATCCCGTCACCGAAGAGAACAGCGCGAGTGCATTGCGTTTTCTGTTTTGGCTCGCACGACGCGACCGGCTCCATGTCCGACACGTCAGAATCTTGTGCCCTGTTTGCTGTAACATTCCTACCATAGCGGATATCTGGATGTCACATTCGTCCTCATGAAGATCGCGTTAGCTATAGTGATCCCGTCACCGAAGGTAAGAACTCGACTTTGGAGAGGATTTTTTTGGTGAAGGAGACAGGATGCTGCTGAGAGGTGGTACGAATGATATTGTTTCGCCTTTGTCGTTTATCGGTAGATACATACATTACCCTCTGTGGTTTACCTGGTATTCCTTTTCTTACCATCACACGACGAATCCATGTCTACCCACAGATTAAATAGTCTAGGATAAGTTTGCAATGAATCCAGTGCGTTAGCGGAGGCACTACCTGTGGTTCTACCTTTTTCATTCCCGGTCGGAGGTACATAGATAACTGGTACCCTTTTATTGTCTTGCCTGATATTTTTTCTTTCACGATACTTTTCGTCCCTCCGGGTCCTGCAGGCTCATGGAAGCCAACCCGAACCGGGCGATCTTCCTCCTCCACCAGTGGCCGGACGTGGTCTCGGCCCTCGAGACGCTGGTGGCCGCGTTGCTGAGCAAGAACGGGCGGGCGGCGAGGAACGTCCGCAAGGCCATGGAGAAGCTCTGCCTGGCCATGGCGGCCTTCATCGACCCCTCCACCCACGGCCACGGCATGAGGTGTGTGGGGAAGTGACTCTTGTTGGGGGAGTAGTACCAGAGTAGAAGGAAACATTGGTACATATCAGCACGTTATCACAAGAGAATATTCTCTATGTTGTTCGTGTTACGTGGGGAGTGCAATTATGTCTCTCCCCGACTGCGGCAATGGAAAAGTTTCCCGCATAGGTGAACGCTCCAACGTTTGTTTCTCCAGCTTCTTCGGGCCGGTGTTATTCAATGGAAGATGATGTCCCTTTTTAACGGCTACGAGTATGATATCTCAGCCTGTGGCTCTCGTGGGCGCAAGCTAGACGCGAATCGGTTCGATTCCAACGCGAGCAGTCGCCGAAAGGAAACAGAGCCACCGCTGTAGCCACGGCACGCGCTAACAATCACTGTTTTCTGTCATTGCCCCGCGTTGTGTCGTTATTTTTCGAATGCTTTTTTTTTTCGGGGGGGGGGCGTTCGCAGGCAGGAAGAGGAAGGGGGGTGGTCGGCCGGTGACGGGAGCGGGCAGCTGGGCAGGCTGCGACACAGCATGGAGAAGCTGCAATCTGCGTGAGTAAACTCACGCGGTGCAGTCTGTGTATTGCGTCCCCAACACTGAAATATGATAAACTATTGGTTCCACAAATAAAAAACAAAACACACACAATATTTACATTAAATAAGTGATTCTCGATAATTCGTGGGCTGGTGCAACCGGGCGCTGGAAAACCTCAAAACTGAAAATTGGCGTATAGTAAATTTACGCCGGACCGATCGCTCGATCGTTGGGTCGAAAGCACAACAGCAATAACATGGTGTCTCGGCGGACTCGGTTGGAAGCAACACACTTATGTACCCGGGTGGGGACGGCGTGCGTGAAGCCATTCCCTTGGCCTGAAAACGCACCTACACGCTCACGTCCCCCATGCGCCGCCCTTTCAATCTCTTGTTCCGGTTGAACGGTAGAGAACCGGGCTTGGCATAGCAAATTCCCCCCCCTTCCTCCGAAATTCGTTCACGTAAGCAATGCTATTATGCTCTTAAGGTTTTTACTTGTTGAGTTCAAGCGAGGGCAAGAATCTCCCGTGCATCACTCGGTGTGGAGCAAGCTGTGCCGTTCATGGCGGCTTCTCCTGTAGAACGTTGTGTTTCCTGGGAGGCAGCAGCACGACTTTGTGGTTGTTTTTTTCTATTGGTTTCTTGGGACGAAGAATTGTGTGGCATGTCTTCGGGTCCCGGTAAAGCGCAAGGTCACTTCATTCCATTTTCAGGACAACACGACTGCGATAAAAACTACAGCACGGATGCGATGTTAGCGCAATCCGCGCCGTATGTTGTATGCGCGTTGGGCCTATTTCGGCCGATGCGGCCCTTGTGTGCAATTTTTTCGCAGGCTGATCGCGTGGCCCAAGTCCGCCAAGATCACGCAGGAAGAGGTGGACGCCCTGCACAAGGACCACAACGAGTTCCTCATGAGGTTCCACAGCCTGGTTTCCAGCACCAACAGACCAGGCAAGTTATAATTGTTGTTGTTGCTGTCGTTGTTGGTGTTGGGCGAGTTGTCGTGTTTTTGGTTTATTTGCTGTTTGCTGTGTGCTGTTTGTTATTTTTGTTGTTTGCTGTTGTTCTTGGTGATGTTGGTGTTGTTGTTGCCTTTGATGTTTGCTGGTAGCTCCGGTCGAGATATCGACGAAAGCCAACCAGCAGACACCCAAGGGATTCGTTCACGGGGGATGTCGTAAGTTGTTTCAGCCCCCATTATCAGCCGAACCCAACATCTGCTCTGGTCACACCGGAAGACCTAACCCTGTGTGTGCTCCGAATCCGCCTTGCCCTCCGCGATGTTCACCGTCCGATCCTTGCAACCCATCCAGGCCACGTGGAAAGCTGGGAAGGGCAACGACGGGTGGCTTTCTTCGTCAACTCCATGTACATGAGCCAGCCCGAGGTAAGCGGATTAGCCAGGGATCGTGCGTCAGGGTCCCCGCTCGCTCTCACTGGTCCCTTTTCCCGATTCATATGGACTGCTGCCGCCCTCCATTCATTTCAAAAGATACTGGCACTCTTCCTGCCTGTGGAGCAGCAATCGAAAATCGGTCCTGGGAGTGTGGTATCTTGTGTCACCGACGGCAGTCCTCCACACGCAGATCCTCGACGTTTGGCTTTTGATCGAATCCGTCGCCTAGTCCACAGCCGTTGATTCCACCCCCCTCAACTGCTGGTTGTTGCTGGTACAGGCAACGCGAGTGGAGAACATGCCGGCGTTCAGTACGCTGACGCCCTACTACTCCGAGGAGGTGATCCTCTCGGTCGACACGCTGTGCGCCCAGACCCCCGACGGGGTGACCACTCTGGAGTACCTGCAGACCCTCTTCCCCGAGCAGTGGATGGCGCTGGTAGAACGCGTCCAACGGGAGATGCCGGACGTGAGTCGTCGTGGTTGCGCTCTCTGCGTTGTGCTGGTGTTGTGAAGAAGGAGGGCTGCAAAGGGTCGTTGTGACCGAATCTGCGGAGCGAGTTGAGGTGGCGAGGGCGGCTGCAAAGGGTCGTTATTTTTATGGCTGTTGTTGTTGGTGGTTGTGGTGTGTTATCGTTTGTTTTCGTGCACCAAGTGTTTTGGCACGTCTCTAAAGCCCGTGTGCATTCAATCTCCCCAACGCCCCCCCCCCCCCCTTCTTTCCCGCCCACCACTTGATCCCCACTTTCCCACGGTAGGACCCCCCCCCCCCTCCGATCAACCATGTACAGGTGGATTTTCTCTACAACGTCAACAGCAGCCGGGAGGTGGGGGTACTCAACTCCATGGACCCGCGGGCCAAGATGGAGCTGCAGCTCTGGGCGTCCTACCGAGCACAGACCATGGCTAGGACCGTGCGAGGGATGATGTACTACGAGCAGGCCCTCCGGCTGCTGGCGGTGGTGAGAGGGAAAGGCGTTCTTTTTTCTCGCGAACGTTTATTCCAAGTGTTGGCGGCGGGGTGCCATCCGCACCCAAGCTTTCTTCGTCGGTCCGTCATGGCATCCTTACAATTCACGTGCCTTTGCGTGTCTGCCTTCAACTCACCCTGGTATTTAGGGCCGTTTTATTCAACAGCTATTTTCCTTCCAATTTCTCAAATCTGTAGACCATAGAACCTCAAAATTCGTGGCCGAGGAAAAAAAATTGGAAATTTGGAAGCATGGAAACGACTTACACCGAAAAATTTGGAACTACTGTAGATGGTTCCAATAATTTGAAAATCTGGAAGCAAACCGGCTGAGAATGAAACGGCCCTTACCGTAGTCCTCCTCTCTGGCCTGGTGGAGACAAAAGGGTTTCTCTCGGCAGCTGTGCGGCAAATAGCTTTTTGGCGATGGCTATCGCCGACCCCGCACCCATCGCCGAAGCCCAAACCATTTTCACCCCATCCCCACGTTTGGCCAAAGGTGGAGGCGGAGGACTTCTCCCAGCAGCTGTATCGCAACGTCAACATGGCCAGCGCCAACCCTCTGTTCGAGCGGAGGGGCAAGCGGGCCTACGTGTCCGTGCTTCAGGGGCAGCTCCGCTACAACTCGGACAGCAGGGAGGCCGCGAGTGCCAAGTACACCTACGTGGTGAGGCAGACCACACCAAGCCGAGGGGTGCATGCTTTCGTCTTGGTTGCACCCACCCGCTCTGTTGTGGTGGTGGTCACAACATTGTGAGCTGGTGTCGGGGGAGTTCTGGTGCAGCTTCTGGGGAGTGGTTGCAACTACGGACGTACTGTAGATGTGGAGAAACGCAAGTTCTATCGACGCTGGAGAAATGTGTGTTGTTGGCCATCGAGGCGGCCAGCAGGGAAGGGGGACCACTCTTCATCGGCCGGTTAGGAATTTAGATTTATGGGAGCATGCCGGGGGGGAGGGGGACCACATGATCAGACAGATGCTTCGTAAGCGACATCACATGGACCATGCTCTACGGCCCAACCGTTTGGTTCTGATCGAAACAGCGGAGGGTGCCCACGTTCCACGGTCAGAGTAGGCCCCAGCAGGGGCACGCGCGTGACCTGTCGCCGCAAAGGGTTTCAGCGACGATTGCCTACGTGGCCATTTGTTGTGAGGGGTAAATCCAGTGCCTTGTAGATCGGCGCCAAGAGTCTGAATGCACGAGATGTCGTGTATGATTTGGTTCATGAACAGTGTTGTTGTCACTGAGAGGGGACGGACACGCATGAAGAGAGTCCGTACGAAAACGGAATAGGCCGAAAAAGCATCGTACCATCGTACCCAACAAACGACTGTGTCGACGCGTTCGGATCTGCCACAGCAATACCAGCAGCAGCAGCAGCAGCAGCAGGAGCGGGCAGCTGCTGTTATTGTGTTTGTGTTGAGAGCTTCTGGATCTGGCACTTTGATGACTTACAGGACTTCACCACCAATGTCTTTTTTTTTCGATTTGCTTGAGTTCTTCCCCCCATTCGTTTTGCTTCTAGGTGTCTTGCCAGCAGCATGCAAAGCTCCTGAGGTCGGGTAAGGATGAGGATCGAGCCAAGGCCAAAAGCGTGGAGCTGCTCATGGAGATGCACCCTTCCCTCAAGGTGCGCGCAACTATTAATTAGGGATCATCCACACACAACATACAACTTTTGCACCGCCCGAGATACCTTTCGGCGCCTGTTCCGTCGTCTTGTGGTTTGAACTATTTCGAGTTAGTTTTGTATTCTGGTCACCATTGGGCTCTTGATATTGAATTGATGCACGGAAGAGGAGGATACGACTGCGGAGACCACCACGGTTTCTACTGCTCTGTCAAGCAAACAAACAGCCACAACGGCCTTGGCGTAGTTTTGACGCGGTGACAACGTAGACATGGCCAATCCGCCTGACCGTGTGTTTTTCAACCAGGACCGAATATGGTGCGATTTCGCTCATGTTTCCGAGGTTGTCATCAAGCTCTTGCTCGAGCCTCAAGCCGTTGTCCTAATAACACGGCGCTAGACGAAAGCTACAATTTTGAGTTGGAATGGATTGTGTCCACGCCAACTCAAGTAACAACGCATCGTGGTGACTATTTTAGAGTTAGTGTTCCCAAAACATAAACCCAGGGGTCCAAGGGAATCGGGGACAGTGGACTTCCTCACCACATAGATACTTTTCCCAGCGACGACATCGGGCGCGAGAACGGAGTCAGGGGAATGCCTTGGCCATGCTGCACGTACAGGGGTGGGAACTTCGACGCTACCTGCTGGCACCGTCGGCATCCGCTGCAACACTACCCGCGACTAACCATTCGACTACATGTCAAGCGCCACGTAAAATTCGCTGATACACGGACACACGGCTGTTTTAGAGCCTAGGACTTTTCACCAACCACAACAGCCCCCCGCCGAAGCACCAAATCCAAGGCAGACAACGAAACTCTGCTGATCAAAGACTATACGTTTTGTATCTTTTTTTTTTTTTTCCGTCTGCACAAAAGGTGGCATACGTGGAATCAGGCAAGGACGGCCGGCACCACTCCGTGCTCATCCGCTACGACGAGGCCCGGAGCCGCATCGTGAAGCAGTACGAGGTGGAGCTGCCGGGGCCCATCCTTCTCGGGGAGGGGAAGCCGAACAACCAGAACCACGCCATCATCTTCACGAGGGGGGAGGCGGTCCAGGCTATCGACATGAACCAGGACGGATGTGCGGCGCATTAGTTTTGGGTTAGGGTTACGGTTGGCTACCGCTTTGTGTCGGTTCGTATTTGACGACCACCTCTATCAGAAGCAAGAATTGACTACCTAAACGAGTGTTTTGTGAGTAGCAGTTCACGCCGAGGCAATCATCACTCATCGGGCAGGAAGTTCCATAGCGACGCGTTTTTTTTTTCCTGTGGTGTGTGTTGCTTGTGTCGTCGATTTCGTACTCCCAAACGTTTGTGTCCAAGATCCCGGCCGGGCCTCTGGTCATAGTTGCACCGCCTTCTCGTTTCAGTATACCCGGTCGCTGCACAACAGCCCGACAGGACTCAGAAACATTCAAGCTTCGCTGCTGTCGTCGCCGCTGTTTGTGGCTCTGCGTTGGTAACATTTTTTGTTTGCAGCTCTCGAAGACGCACTCAAGGCTAGGCAACTGCTGGGCGAGTTCGACTTCAACGGCGGGGGAAACCACGCCAGGATAGTGGGTTTCCGCGAGTTCGTGTTCACGCACGACGTCAGTTCCATCGCGAACTTCTTCAGCCTCCAGGTGGATGTTACCGCACGGCCCCCCCGGCTTCGCAAACGCAATCTCGCTGCTACACTTTTTTGAACGAGTGTCTTAAAGCACTTTGGCGTTGGAGAGAAGATTGCCTCTTGTGAAGGTGGCGTCTTGTGAGGTGATGAGTAAACTATCACGGATCTTTTCAAGGTGCAATTTGATTGGTTGCTTCTTGGGGGCACGTGATGCAGGAACATCTTTGACTGACCAACTACGAAGGAGAATTTTCTGAAAGACCACCATACGAAAATAGTATCTTGGGAAAGAGTGCGATGGACCCCACAGGCCCTTTGCTGCTTTTCTGAGGACCCGCTGCTGCCCGGAGGTTTCAGGTCATACACATGCGAAGCGGGCGATGTAGTCAGTCTCCTCGCCTTTTGCCGCACCCCCAATGCTGCTTGGAGAGCTTCGAGGACCTTCTTTACCCACGGCTTGTCAAGCGACCATTACTCTCGCTTTGGTTTCGTTTCTCCAGGAGCTTTCGTTCGTGACGAGCATCCAGCGGTTCTTGGACAAGCCGCTCGCCGTCCGATTCCACTACGGGCATCCTGACCTTTTCGACAAGTGAGCATGTGTTCGACTCTTGCCATTTTTTGCAGCAAGGGATTTTTCAAGCTTGGTGTCAACAATTTGTCAAACTTGTTTTTCTGAACGAATGACGTTTTGCTTTTTTCTGTGAGCGTCTGGGAAAAACACAGTCTCGTTCTACATGCATTGTTCGATTGGCAATTTTTATCCTTGTTGCTCTATCGTATCGGTACGTGATTCTCTTCCGTTCGACGCATATTCCTTGCGACTTTTATTTTTTCTCAACTGTTCATTTCCTTTTTGACCTTTGTCTGCATTTGCCCGACAATTGCAAGAGCGCCCTGTCGCCGAGATTCCAGAAATGGCAGTTCGTTTTTGTAGGAAGCTTTCCCGGCAAAGGGCTGAGAAAGAAGACGTACTGCTAGGCGCCAGTACACCCTTCGTGTGTTGGATGTCGGGTCATGGGGTGCTGGAGAATTTTGCGTTTGTTTCTGTTTCCACCGTTCGAGGAGCCATGATAGTCAGTCGCCTTGACAATCGCTTCGAGTATCGTATGGTAACATTCCAGATGTCGGCAGCTAAGCTTGCTTGTAGGGGTATTCACGTTACTCCTTGTAGGCTCACAAGAGACGACAACTTCTGCTCCACGTGGTATGACTGGCGCAAAAAGCATCGCCTCTCTTGACGCCCGCATTGACGTTCTTCGTCTCGGTCTGTTTGCGAAGGGTGTCGGCGATGACCTTGGGAGGCATCTCGAAGGCGTCGAAGGGCATCAACCTGTCCGAGGACATCTTCGGGGGATTCAACTTCATCCTCAGGGGAGGCAAGGCCACCCAGGCGGAGTACATCCAGGTGCGTGTGTGTGTGTGTTTCGGCTGTTGGCATCGCCCGTGCTGGCTAGCCCATCGAGTGCTGGCTAGCTGGCTGCCCAAGGAAGTGCCACCAGGATATTTCTTCATGTGCCAGCGGTATGTCGAGCTGTTTTGGGTTATAGCATGGGTTGTGCGAAAGCCATCTGACCATGAAAAGGAGCCGCTGTATGCGCGTTTTTTTTTTCTATCCTTCTTTGCTCTGAGGAACCGAGCGGACCGGGTACACGCGTCTGAAGGCCAAGAGCGCGGCGCTGCCGGGAGAAAACCGTCATATTCTCGACTTTATCCCTCCCCAACGAAGAGCAAAGCAGTGTCCGGAACATGAACACTGTCTGCTCTGCTTTGCTCTTGCCGCCTCCGTCAGGTGGGCAAGGGGCGAGACGTAGGGCTCGGGCAGATCACCGGCTTCGTGGCCAAGATCAGCATGGGCAACGGTATGCAGGCCCGATCCAGGGAGGTGAGTCGTGACGCTGTACACCATAGGCGCTTTCGCAACACCTGTGTCGAACCACGTGCTGCGGTTGTTGCGCCCTGCGGTATGAATGGGTGGTGTTTTTTGTGATGCGGACTAATTTTTTATTGTTGTCATGGCGTTGAGAAGTGCAATCGTATTTGTGTCTGCGCGTCATGGAGAATGAAATTCCTGGTGTTCTCAGTACGTTCTACTTGTAAACAAGGCCGAAAGCGTGCACGAGGATGCTTGTCGTGGATGACACGCCGACGGCCAGATTGTGAGAGCTTGCACCTGACGCCCGCACCTACGGGTGTCCTTCACGAGAAATTGTTTTCTATGGCCCTTGGACAGAAGCGCTCGAAGAGCTGTATGTATGTGCGTGTGAACGCAGCATTGCACGGATCACCTCGCAAATGTTCAACGCGTGTTTTTCTCTTCCCCGGTTTGGCGCCACGGTCAAAACATATTGGCGGTAGGCTACGGTGAGAACAACACCAACAGCATAAATATTAATACCACCACCAATACCACTAACATCAGTTGCATCAGCCAGAGTTAAAGCTGCAACTGCAGCCACAACCTAGTCGTGTTAGTTTCAGCTGTTCCTGTACATGGGGGTGTGTTTCTTAACTGTTGGAGTATTATTTAGTGTGGCTTGTCCAACCTCGTCGTCCGGAAAAAAATCGTAAGGTGCACCGCATCGCGCAGCAGCTGGACATCTTTCGTCTCCTGTCCTTCTTCTACAGCAGCGTCGGCTTCTACCTCAACCAGGTTCGTTACACCCTGTCGACAAGCGATCGCGATTGGGTTGACGAGGGCCGTGTCAGTGTTCCCCAGGATTGACGTTTGCAACGTTGTCCGACTTTCGCTGTCTCATTGCGTTCTGCCGGCTCATTTGTAGAATCATCCATCAGTTTGAGTTGGGGTGAGCGGCTCATCTGTAATGGTGTTTTAGTTGAAGAGGAACAATCCATCCGTTTGAGTTGGGGGACCGGCCCATCTTTCTTGGTGTTTCAGTTGAAACAATCTATCCGCTTTTGTTGGGGGGCCAGAAGAAGAGGGCTCCTCTTTGCAGAGTTTCTCTGGAGTACACGTGTTCTCCATCGAGTGAGATTTTCAAGGATGCGTTGGGGGGCAAACTGGCTGCCGTTCGTGCGTTCTCTTGCAGAGCGCGCCGCTTATCACCATGCGTCTTTCGAGCCCTTTTTACGTGCCAATGGACCCAAACGTTGCCCGCGCGGACTGACGGCAATGCTACCGCCCTTCCGTCTGGCCGTGGTGGATGCCAAACGTTGCTTACCGCTCCAGGTGTTCTTGACGCTGTCGATCTGGCTCTTCGTGTACGCCAAGGTGTACCTGGTTTTCGACAGCCGCACGGTGAGTCTGTTGCTAACTTCTTGCCCCCCCCCCCCCCCCCCGGACCCCTCCTCAAATTTGCCTTTCAACCCATTTTGAAAAACCCCTGGCCCCCTTCCGGGGATTTCAGTCCCCCGGGGAAAAAAGGTTGGGAAGGTCCCGCCCCCCCCCCCACCCCCTTGGGGTGGAAAGGGGGTCTTTTTTTTCCCGCAAAACTTGGGGCCCTCCACCCCAAAATTTGCAAGGGGGGCCCCCCCGAATAACTCTTCCCACTGGGAATTCTGCTCCTTGTTCCCCTCCCGGTGGGGAACGAAAGGAAAACTGGTTTTTCTCCACTATGTGTTGTTGTTGTTGTTGTTGTTGCCGCCGCCGTTGCCGGGGGGTTTTGGGAAGAAGTATTGAAAACCAAAAACCTGTTGTAATGACCCCTGCGTCCCAAAACCACTGTGTTCTTTTACCAAGGGGGCCAATGAAGAAAGAACTTATGCGACCTGCTTTTTTCCACTGGAAAGGGCACCCGTGGTTTCCTCCCCCCCCCTCCTTCGGGGGGGGGCAAGGT